CACAGAAAAATTACATGGTCCTTCACAGTCGGATTGATATTCAGTCAGTAGATCAAAAGGTACAAGAAGTTCGCAATTTTACGTTCAATCGATCCATTTTCTGAGATCTACATTGGTGTAAAAGGCAAGGTCAACACGTTAACAATCCTACATCAAATTCAAAGTAAGAGCACATTTCCTTACTTAATTTTCCTTTTTATCAGTATCATATTATCCAAACACGATGCCTGATCAGTTGCAGACATTGATGCGTCAAAGGGATAACGTGAAATCTAAACTCACCGGGTTTATCAATTTTGTTAATGCATACGATTCTGATACGGCCAGTATCGCAATGGCCAAACAATTAAAAAGTCGTTTACAAAAAATGCAAAATGCTGTTAATGAATATGACAAAATTCATTCCAAAATTATTCTTGATTGCACTGATGATACTTTCAGTACTCATTTGTCAGCACGGGAGCCGTTTGAAAATGATTATTGTGACGTAATTGCTTTAGCTGAAGGCAAACTTGGTGTCACAGACGTAAATCAGGGTCAAGAAGCTTCTGTAAATCATGATAATCTGCATGCAGTTGAACAGGTTCATGAAAATTTATTAGGTATTAAATTGCCAACTATTCAATTACCCAAATTCAGTGATAATTACGATAATTGGCTGGAATTTAAAGACACCTTCGAGTCGCTAATTCATACAAATGACGCGATTACAAACATTCAAAAATTTCATTATTTGAGAGCCACGTTGTTTGGTACTGCTTCACAGGTTATCAGTTCATTGGAATTTTCATCAGGTAATTATCAGCTTGCATGGGAATTACTGTGTAACCGTTTCAATAATACTCGATTACTGGTACATAATCACGTCAAAGCGCTTTTTGATATTCTTCCGCTTACAAAAGATTCATCTGCCGAAATTAGGCAATTAGTTGACAAGTTGGGGAATCATTTGCGCCCTTTAGAAATTTTAAAACAACCCATTAAGGAATGGGACACTTTGATAATTCACATTTTAGTGGAAAAGTTAGATAAAGAAACCATTCGTGATTGGGAGGAGTATCATAAAGCTAACGAGCTTCCTACTCTCAACGAATTAACGCAATTTCTTATCAAAAAGGCAGATGTTTTGGAGACAATTGAAATGAAGTCCTTACAAACTAATCAGGTGTATTCAAAACCTAAACATGTTCGCAATTCAAACAATTTATTATCAACCGAACCACGTTGTGCCATGTGCAAAGGCAATCATCCGATATTTAAATGTAAACAATTTTTAAACTTAAATGTACAGGATCGTATTCAGGAAATTACCTCTTTAAAGTTATGTAATAATTGCCTTCATAAAGGACATGATGCGCAAAAGTGCAAGTTCGGCAAATGTAAATTGTGCAACAAAAATCATAATACCCTCCTTCACAATTCTGAAGTTGTGGATACCCAAAAGGTAATTGATGCCCACCCAAGCTCATCTTATTCGGTACAAAATCGGAAACATAATCAGATCCTATTGTTAACCGTATTAATTCATGTCTTAGATAAAGGTAACCGGGTGCATGAGATAGCGGATCACAATCAAATTTTATATTGCGTGATTCCTGTGAAAAATTGGGGTTGCAAAGTAACAAACTAGTAATGACCATTTCGGGAATCGGTACAGTAGCTACAAAGGTCAATCAGAATTGCGAAATCGGTATTTTTGCTAGGGATTGTTCTTATCAAAAAACGTGTAATTTTTTGATAATCGAATCCATTTGCGAACAGTTACCGTTGCAAGAAATTAATATTTCAGGCTTAGATATTCCTGAACAATTAGAATTAGCAGATCCCGAGTTTTACTATCCTAATAAAATAGATGCACTTCTAGGCGCAGAAGTGTTTTGGGATGTTATCAATCATCAAAGATTTATAATTTCAAAAAATATTACACTACAAGGTTCACGATTAGGATGGTTGGTGACCGGGAAAATACCTCTTAAACCGGTTTCATCGATTTGTAATGTGTCACTGAAATCATTGCAAAAAGACTTACGAAAATTTTGGGAAATAGAAGATTGCCAAGACGTTTGTGAAACATCTTCATCCACCCTTTCGGTTTCTGAATGCGAAACCCACTTCCAGAAGCATGTTGTACGAAACGAACAAGGTAGATTCATTGTTAATGTTCCTTTTAATGAAAAAATTCACAAACTAGGGTCATCAGAGATCACATCTACAAAACGGTTGCTTTCATTAGAACGTAAATTTCGTACGCAGATTCAGTTTAAGGAAATGTATTCAGAATTCATGCGGGAGTATTTAGCTCGTGGTCACATGTCGGAAGTGCACCCTATAAAGGGTGAAATCAATAATTTACTACCGCATCATGGAGTATTGCGAGAAAATGCTGCTACCACCAAATTAAGGGTTGTTTTTGACGCTTCAGCGCCCACCTCGAGCGGGGTTTCTTTAAATAACGCACAATTAGTTGGGCCTACTGTTCAAGATGACTTATTTTCGATTATCCTGCGCTTTCGCCAATACAAATATGTTGTATCAGCTGATATACAGCAAATGTATCGACAGGTGCTACTGAATCCTGATGATCGCAAATGTCACAGGATTTTATGGCGCGAAGATGAATGTGAACCTATCAAAACCTATGAATTAAACACAGTCACTTACGGGACAGCTTCAGCCCCATATCTAGCAACCCGTTGCTTGTACCAGCTTGGAATTGATCATGAATTTTCCAACCCACTAGCGGCTCAAGTCATTAAACGCGACTTTTATGTTGATGATTTGATCACGGGACATGATAATATTGAAACCTTAATCCAAATTTGTGTTGAAATCAAACAAATACTACAATCTGCCGGGTTTTTATTACATAAATGGTACGCTAACAGTTTTGATGTTTTGAGCGTCTTTAATCAAGATGCGCAACATAACATTTTTTCTATTGGATCCCATGATATTCGCAAGACGCTAGGGATTATTTTCAATACAGAAAGGGATGAAATAGGTTTTCAGGTAGGGGAATTCACCTCAAAGAAACAATTACAATTGCATTCACGGCCATATCAAAAAGACAAATTTTGTCTGATATTTCAAAAGTTTTTGATCCTTTAGGTCTTTTAAGTCCAGTAATTATCACGGGAAAAATCCTATTACAAAAATTGTGGTCTGAAAAATTATCCTGGGATTCACCTATCGAGAACGGTATTTATGATGAGTGGATAAATTACAAACATAATTTGTTAGACGTAAATTTCATTAAAATTACTCGTCGTGCACTGTATGACTCTCACAATGTTGAACTCCATGGATTTTGCGATGCATCCACACATGCATATGCAGCATGTGTTTACGCTCGCACTGACACGGGAACAAATATTAAGGTTCATTTGCTGTGTGCAAAAACAAGAGTGGCTCCCTTGAAATCTATAACAGTACCCCGATTAGAATTGTGCGGGGCATTACTCTTATCCAAACTCATGGAAAAGGTTTTGAGGTCACTGTCAATGGATGTAAAATGCGCATATTGGTGCGACTCGCAGGTTGTATTGTATTGGATAAATACAGAAGTCCACCAATTAAAAGAATTTGTAAGTAACCGCGTGCATCAAATTCAGAAATTGACAAGGCCATCTAATTGGTATTATGTTAATACTGCTTCAACCTGTTAGCAGTCTTAGTACTTAGCGCTGAGACGGTTTGTGTCACGGCGCGGTAAACCAAAGGAAATTTATTCAGACAACGGAACAAATTTTGTAGGCGCATCAAATGATTTGCGTGAATTAGTACAATTTTTTGACAAGTTTGATACAGAAGTTGCTCCTTACATTGCAAATGAGAGTATCACATGG